TTATATATAATAAATGAAAGAGTACTTTTTAAAGTTTGTCCAAGCTTTCGGAAATTTAATAAATTGTTTCCATCATCGGGGATACTAAGAAAATTGTGGGTGTAAGTAATATTAAGATATAAATGAATGGTTAGACTTACAACTTTTTTTGAGGATGTTTCATACGATGATTATGTAAAATATTGGACACAAAGTGTTGGATGAGCATTGATACAATACATTTATAAAAATAGCTGAAGGATGTCTAATATTGGATAAAATATTTGATGAATAACGTTACAGTTTAAAATTGTTTTGAAAGAAGATAATGTCATATGTCGAAATTTCACAAAACGTTTCTTTTGGTTAGGATTGACAGGCAGTTGACATGACATATGTCCGTGGTTTCAGTGATAAAAGCTGTTGCCAACTTTAAATGATGAAGAATTCTTAGGAAATTTCTACCTGTGTGTAATTTTTCAAAGTGAATTTAGGATAACATTTGGATTTAAATATAAAGTACATTATTCTATTGATGCTAGATTTGATAAATTCATTGAAATATTATTGTATGGATTTTGATGCCACTGAGGTCTTAGCTAGTGAAAGACATCTAACAAACTTTAAAAACTTCTAGTTATTATATGCGAACGGTTTCGGGTAGCAGGTTGTGCTATCATCTTCATGACTCTACTGAAACTGATCGTTTTATCTTCTTGTTTGTTCTTTCATAAGGTTAGAACGCCTTAGTGCAGGCATTTATCCTCATCCTTCATCCTCTCCTTTTGCCTGTACTGAGATGACATCAGGTAATATCCTTTGTGTTGGTGTTTCTCTAGGTTCATTGTTTCTAGGAATGTGTATTGTTTTGTTGAGTATATTGTATGTTAGGTCTTGTGTTTTGATTTGTATTTCTTCCTCGATAAGTGAATTATGACTTTTGAATTTATGGATGTTTAGGTTTTCCCAAATGTCCATACGGTTCCTTTATTGACTTGATTTATGAGTTTGATGTTTTCTGGTGGGGGAAGTTATGTTCGTTTTCAATATTCAATTCGTCAAAATTTTCGTGAGAAGGAATTTTCAATGGAAAAATTATCATATTTTTCATATTTCGAAAAGTGTGACAGATAGGTACAGAAAAATATCAAGAAAAGTTGTTGGGTAATTGTTGTGTATTCCAAAAATAATATTGTAAACATGGTATTCTATTTGAAAAATCAAAGTTGCTACTACTTTCTAATGGAAGTGGCAACACCACGTTATCTGAAATATTTTAGTTTTGTAGAGAATGTCCGAATATGCTCTCCATTAAATTTCAAACGTGGTCTGTTGTCTGAAAAACTGCATCGATTGTTGTTCCATGTCTTGTGGTAGGCTCATTTCGGTTATATTCATTTGTAGTTCTAAAGAGCCATCCATTAGTCACGCGCGGCTTGAAAGGAGGGGGGGGGTTAGCAAAAATCACGAAATATCACAAGGGGGAATGGGGTGTAGTAAGATATCACGTGTATTTATTTTTTCGTAAATCGCGCGATGTCCAAACCGAAAAGCGACGTGTATTTTTACTTTGACTCGCTGTTGTCAGACAACGAACGAAGTTCCTGCGCGCCGCTCACCACGACGAATACCCGGCTCGACTTGCCAGTCGCCAATTAAGGTCTCTTCCCATTATACTGTACCAATCATGACCGTGCTAGGACCGTATCAGAAACGGAAAATAACACGATGCTGTCTACCTTGTCCATTGTAATGGATCAACCGTGTTCTAAGCCCGTAAGCAACACGTATAATGACCGTATCGTACGGGTATAATGACCGTTAGATACCCGTTTGACAACTGTAGATAATGTGAAATATTGTATGTTATTCCGGCTTACACATCAGTGTAATGTAAACGTATAGAAGAGTTTACCTCTAAGAACGAATATGGCTGTGAGATTAATATTTCAATAGAATGTATTGCTGAATAAAATTGAAAATGATTGACCTACGGTTCAGCAACGTCAAGTACCATGCACGTTGTATATTAGCATCGGCAAAATATTTTTGGCTCAAATACTGTCATGGCACGTGCATGCTACGCTACGTTCCGGACCGGTGACGGAACGGTCTAGAGGGCGCGTAAAAGAATATTTTTTAACATGTTCCGGTACGTTTACGGTTATGGTTGGTACGGTATAGTGGGCAGAGACCTCTATAGTCCTGTACCAACCATGACCGTGCTAGGACCGTATCAGACATGGAAAATAACACGATACGGTCTACCTTGCCCAATGTAATGGATCAACCGTGTTCTAAGCCCGTAAGCAACACGTATAATGACCGTATCATACGAGTATGATGACCGTTAGATACCCGTTTGACAACTGTAGGTAATGTGTGTTATTCCGGCTTATTCATCAGTGTATTGTGAACGTATAGGAGAGTTTACCATGAAGAACGAATATTGCTATGAGATGATCTACATTTCAATGGAATGCATTGCCGAATAAAATTAAAAATTATTTATATCCCGTTTATACACCCTTTCGCTGCCGGAGACCTATGGTTTAGCAACGTTACGTACCATGCACGTTGCGTATCAGCACCGGTAAACTATTTTCGACTCGAATACTGTCATGGCACGTGCATGATACGCTACGTGCCGGACCGGTGACGGAATGGTCTAGTGGGCGTTGCTTCGTATGAAAGAATATTTTTAGCATGTGCCGGTTCGTTTAAGGTCATGGTTTGGTACGGTATAGTGGGCAGATACCTTTATATTCTGTTATTTTGGAGCTGAATACATGCAAACACCGTTACCTGGTACGTTTTTCATTAAAACAATGTCTAATAAACTAGGTGATGTGTATATATAAAGACCCATTTGCAGAGTATAAGAAAGGAAAAATTGCAAGATTCTTTGTAGATACTAAAAAATACACGTGATTTTGTGTGTGGGAGGGAGTTAGCCTTAAACCTCACCATTGCTACCTCACCGTTTCCAAATCAAATTATGTGTCGAAAATAACATCACATCACATTTTTTTGTGTTTGTTCCAGGTAGAAGTTGGAGACGTAATCTTGAAAGTAAACGAAACGGAAGTAATAAGGTTTAGTACAAAAGAAGGTGAGTTTTATTTATTTATGTATTTTCGTAAAAGATTAGTTGAGATAAGAATACAGTTGAAATGAAGAGTTCTGTAATAATGATACTATTTTTGATCCTGCGTTTACAAAAAAAAATTGAGTGAACATCACATACCTGAGAAAATTGTTCGCGAGTTAGGGCAAAATATTTGGAAGCAGAATCGATTTATAATCATGGGAGGTAAAAGAAAAATGTCACTGCAACGGGCGTGAACTGTTCAAGTACCTACTTGGGCGGTATTAGTTTTTCAGACAAGTGTACTTTCTTTTTGGGCAATATAGTTGATCGCCACAATGAGCTTGTTTCATGTTATGGAAAATGATACTGGTTTGCTTATAGACTGATCGAGTTAGGGGTATATTATACTTATCAAGCTTAATCGGTTCCAAGAACTCTTTATATTTGCAAAAGCAAGAATTTAAATTGGCCGCGTGTCGGTTGACCAATAAAATCGATCCTGTCTAGAGCGGAGTTGCCAAGTGTATTGGCTTTTGATATTCAATCACAGATCTGATGATCCAATTTGACAGACGCCATTTTTGTTGTTATTGTTGTCAACTCGGTGTGAATACAACTGTTACAATTATCTAATTAAAAAACGTTTTTTTTTTTTGTAAAAGGTAGGTCTCGACGGGTGCCTATTTTGCTGCATATTCCGTATCATTAGTTTACATTCCAATAAATATTTTTTTCTGGTTACTTTCGGATTGGATTTTACCATTACTACCACCAAAATGGTTAAAATATGTTTTATACCTAGTTGTAAAAACAGATCATCCATACCAGACAAAAAGTTTTTCAGTGTTCCAAAAAACGAAACTCTAAGATATCTGTGGTTTTCTTCATTTGGCCGAGCTAAAATAAAAATTAAATCAAAACTTTCCATCCTTCGATAATAGACAAAGTCAGAAATCAATTTCATTTAAATAAAAGGGACCTACTAAATATACCACCTACCGTTTCAGTTTTTCATCCTTCATACCAAAGTATTGCAAATTTTTCAAGTAAAATTCATCGATCATTTCAAAAACGACTATCGGTAAGTTGTCGGAGTCAGATTTATCAAAACTAGGGTCAACATTGATTTTGAAATTATTTCAAGAAAAATATGAAGTTATGTGTAGAAACCATTGACATTAGAAAGATCACATTGTCGCATACACTACAGAGGGCGCTGGCTTACTGGATGACAATATGGCTAATGTATCAGTAACGTTCAATTTCTTATTTTTGGTGGGTGGCATAGATGCATAATTGATTTATTTTATTAGGGTTCATGAGAAATCAAAAACCATTTGAAAATACAGCTCATTAAATTCTATTTAGAATCATATTTAGATATAACTTGTACCATATCACTTATCAAGGCAAATATTATTGTCCGTTTTATGCTCAATTCGTGGATTAGAGCGATCTTATTATTGTATATTTATTTGTTTGCTGGTTTTATTCTTAAAAAAATGAATGAATAATTACAGAAAATTGTAATTGATCGTTCATTTTCTCAGGAAAATGGAGTACCCATATCAGATTCTGCTTGTATTTAACATTGAGTTTCAACTTTTTCTTAGCTGACAGCTCGCGTAGGAACAATTCGTTTTTTCATCGAGTTTATATGTTTTTTAAAAGTCTTTCAGAGATATATTTGAATATTAATATGGTGCATTCTTGTGCTGATTTCAATTGTGCGAAAAGGAACAAGAAAACAGAAAGCGCATTGGTTTATAAGTAAGTGAGTTATTTCATATAATGAGTTTAGGTTTCCAAAGGATAAAATGATGAGAAAAAAATGGGTGAAAGTATTGAAAAGAAAAAACTACAATCCTTCTACTCTCCCAAGACTTTATAGAAATCAATTGAAAAGTGACTATAAATGAAAGGAGAACGAAAATATTGAATTTGATGACAGAGTTTTTTATTTCAACTTCAAGTAATCTCCACAGACAGTATTATCTGGAGTTGATACTGTTGCTAAAAGTATGAAACGAAATTGATTAATATTTTTGCAAAAAAATCTAATGCTTTTTATTTTACTTCATTAAATTTTTTCATATGATTCGAGTACAATCAATTCTGTCTATACTTGACCTCATTCAACCTTCCTCTCAAGTTTTGGATGATTCAACAGATTACACAAACGAGCCTGTAACGCTTGAATTTAGTAGCAATATTAGAAAGAAGTATATATTATGTTGGGATCGTTTTTTATAATAAATTTCAGTTGTGAAGATTGAGGATTGTAGAATAAATTGTATATTTGACATGATTCTTTGATCCAGTTTGCTATATTTTTTTATTTTCATAACTGTATATTATTAAATAATGCATAAAATCATAGTTTAGGTAAATATTTTGTGATCTTTCGACTTTGTGTACTGATTTTATATATAGAACTTATTTCCAAACATGATTTTTCGTGTACATTTTATTCCATGTGGAGAATTTTTCATTAATTGAAATTTTAACGGGTTCCATTACACTTCCATACTTGAATTGATAATTATAGGCTTCGTGAATTTTACGATTTGGCAATGTTGATTATTTTTATTGTTCCTATTGGTCAATCGAACAAGAAGCGGGAATAGGCCCTTGACGTCACCAGCCTACCACATTCGATTTTTAATAATTAATTACGGGAAAACTACGGTACTTAGAGAACTGAAACAAAGTGAACTGTTTTTCAATTTGAAATTTCTATCAAGTGAACTATAAACTAAAAATCATGTATTAAGCCCATTGTCGTTGCTGGGATAGCTACTACAACCGGGGATATTCACGAGGTACACATATCTCTTCCTTTAAATTTAGCAGGGGATATGTACCTGTAGTCACTATAAAAAGCTAGCGACCCAGCCCTTACGATTATCATCCTGCATACATTGAAGAAGAAATGATCGATTTTGAGGTCTCTGGATAAGATGAAGGGGTGCAATTGAGTGGCCTGCTAGGTTCTTCGGTAGCCTGAATTTAGTGTGTCGCACTCCACTTAACTCATTGGAAATCCTGTTGAGATGAATCGCTAATGTGGCGCGAATGCCACAAAATTTACCGAAAGTTCTTTCCTTGGAAGTAATGGCTTGAGGTATGCTTTCGGTAGCCCACTAGATGTCCGACAGGCGATAGAATCAAGGCGAATATGTCTCATAATTATAAGTAAAGTATATCTATTCCCAATTGGAACGGCAATGAAAATAAGATCACTACGAGGGGTGTCCATAATCACTGCCCGGCAAATGGGAAATGTATATACTACCAGTGCTTTTATGTTCAAAGCGTCCCTGGTACAGTCATAAACATTTCTGGACTGTGGCCCCTAGTCGCCCAGATAGTTAGTAAACGTGCTATCAAATGTAGTTGAGGAGTAAAGGCTCGGCTAGCTGGACTGGCTGAATACTAATTATTTGGCCGTTTCACAATAATTCTTTATCATTGCCGTGTGTTCGTTGGGTTAGGTGAGGTAGTGAGTGGTTTTGCAAACCGATTTTTGAAAACTTTTTCTAGAGATCAATTACCCTAACACCAAACTAATATTTTTGCACTCGACGCGCGTTTCGCTAACAAGGTTAGCATCTTCAGGAGAAGCAGATTGATACTGAATCTAAAGACAAGGGTTAGCTGTTTATATACCTAAAGTTTTTTGGTCCGATGTGGACTTTGTTTGTTAAATGATGATTATCCTAATTGATTTTTCGGTAATTAACTAGTGGAACCACTACCTGCAAATTAATTTGTCAACAATAGATTAAAAAGCGAACAAATTAATGCAGTTCAATGCATGCAGCTGTGTGATACCTATATTTCTCTCTCCGAGTTTCTATTCCTCTATTCTCTATTCACTTTTTCTCTATCTATTACTCTCTCACTCCGTCAAAAACATAAAGATGAACCATATATATCTTAATCTGACGCGCTTGAGTATTTCAAAATGGCGATTTTTTTTTGTACATTATAATAATGGCCGCGAGTTTGCGTCAGATCGAAATCGTCAGATTATTGAATGAGAGCTTTTTTTTGTTGCACTCATTACCCCCTTAGAAAATCTGACGCGCTCGATAAAATTTTGTTCCTTTTCACTTTCAACTCTTACGTACAACCACCCACATCATGCAAACGATCAGATTAACATACCAGCATCATTAAAAATACGTAGGATATTGATGCTATCAATATCTGACGCGCTCGAGTATGTCCATGCAACAGTATTTCTTTACATATTTAAAAATCTATAGCCGCTTCCCCCACCGATGAAAAGGTATATATTATATAACATTTTTTTCTTCTTATCATCTAAGCTTTGCAACCTAATATGTCTGAATGACGCTCGAGTAAATCCCCATTTTTCATCGTGGGCTCCCCTGCTATATGCCTTCACATATTTGAATCCAATTGTGGTTTCTGTATTCTTGAATCAAATTTTAAATGTTCTTAAACTTATTAATTGAAGCTTTAGACGTTGGATCTCTATATTCACGATACATTTTCCTTTTTTTCTTAATCAAACTCACAATAAATGGGGAAAGCATGAAATCTAAATATTTAACATTTTTTCTAAGCGGAACCCAAACGACTTCATCACCAATTAGGGGTTTCATTAGATTATCGAATCAATGGTTGAAACAATTGCTAAGTGGTGATTTGGATTTATATACGCTTTTTATTTTCGTATTACATATCAAGTAACTTTTCAACTAACTTTTTTTTTCAGTTTTAAAATGTCTCCGGCTGTCTACAGATCCTGTTACTCTAAAAATTAAACGAGGTAAGAACCATTTTTATTTAATGTTTTTTCATTCTAGACATCATTTTGTAAAACTTGTTCGTTTGTGGTGAATAGATTCTTACTAAACATCAAAATGGCAATGAATTGAAACCATATACAGTGTCACCATTAAAGTGCGCACCATATGGAAAACTTCTTTTTTGAAAAGTTTCAATGAAGTCTAACTTCGGCACTTGGTTTGTGCTTTAAATTTAACTTAAAATGATGCGGCCAACTGCGATCCACTGACGTTCAGTGTTTGTCAAATTCAACTTTTTTTTTGAAAAAAATTGAAAAAGTGCATTTCTAGATCGAATTTAACAAAAAGTTACTTGAAAAAGTTGTGTCTACGGCAATTTTATATCCATATGCCAAATTTTATGCAACTAGGATAAAGTTAACGTTTTGCTTATTTTTGACAGATATCCCCTTTATTTTAAAAAACAAGTTCGGTTAATTGTCATCAATTCATGTATACATAACAAACTCATCATGGAGTTTAACTTTTCTGATAAAAGTGATAACTCAAAATTGTGGAAAACTGTAGGAGAAATTTGTGGGAAAAAAGGCCAATAAATAAAATAACACATATAAATATAACAGGAAGGTCCTCGGATAATATTCCTGAAATTGCTGATAATTTTAATGGCCACTACATCAATATAGGCAAAAAATTAGCAAGCAAAACAAAAGTCGACCCAAATTATAAATGTCCGAGAAGAAATATCAATAATCATATGTCAGTGTTTTTATTTCCTACCGATTCCACCGAAATAAAAAATATAATTCTATCGTTGAAAAACAGAAAAGCGATGGGGGTCGATGGAATAATGGCTGAACTTTCGAAAAATACAATTCTATTCATAGCCCAACCATTAGTATATTTAATAAATAAATCTTTCATAGACGGTATTTTTCCATCCACGCTGAAATTAACACCAGTGATCCCAATTTATAAAAACGGCGTTCAAAATGAACCTATAAACTATCGACCAATATCACTGATCACTTCTGTAGCCAAAATTTTCGAAAAAATTATAAAAATACGACTATCGTCCTACCTCAAAAAATATAACATTCTTTCCTGTAGACAATATGGTTTTCGAGAAGGTGTGTCGACCTAAGATGCTGTTCTAGACCTAACAACTGTGCATCTATATGTGTCTTCATAGACCTGTCAAAGGCTTTTGACGCAGTTAGCCACCCACTCCTTCTCAAATCACTTGAAAACATAGTTATAAGAGAAACACACTAAAGCTGTTTCAGAGTTACCTGATAAACAGAAAGCAATGCGTAAAAATTGGAAACCACAAAAGTCTATACAAACATATAGAATATGGTGTGCCCCAGGGAACTACCCTGGGCCCAATTCTTTTCAATATTTACCTCGATGACTTATTCTCAGTTCCAACAATAGGAATAATTTTCACATATGTTGATGACACAGCCATTTTTTATGAGGACACCACCTGGTCTTCCCTGAAGAATAAAGTAGAGGTTGATCTCGGAAATATCAGATTAATTAAACTCCTCACAATAAATTTCAGCAAAACGTACTACCTACCAATTTATGCTTCTGCGCACTACTCACCATCTTTTACTTCCCTCAATATGTCCAGCTTGTTTAATATCACACCTGTTGAACAGTTTAAATATCTCGGGATTGTTTTAGATGACCAACTCAAATGGGAATCCCTCAAAACCTATGTAATAAAAAACTCCAATTACGGGATACTGGCATGGGGATCAGCTGGGAAGACCACTATGAAAAAACTGATAATAACACAAAAAAGAATCCTTGAAATAATTTTCAAAAACATAAGGAATCCAGTTTTTTAACTGTCTCAGATCAGTCAATTCGAAATTGGTATGAACCTACCTTAGAAAAAGTTACAATTTGTATACATTGAGGTATTGGTCTCTAACGTACAACAGTACACATTAATATTTTTTGATAGTTTGCTTTGGAAAAAAAAAAATAAACCAATTATTTAACGTCAGACTTTCGTTGGTGGTTTTGACTGATTGTGATAGCTACCAATTATTATAGAATAATGTCAAGATTAGGTTACAGTAATGAAGATTTCTTGAATTTATTAATAATTTATGGTGAGTGCAATAGAATTGCAAGTAGAACATGCCGAGTATTTCATGAAAGATATCCACAACTTCCTGAGCCAAATATTAATGTGATGAATCGACTACTAAAAAACTGAAGATTGAATGGAACCTTTCGTCCAAAAACCATTCGTAAGAAGACTAAAGTGGATGATGATGACAATGGTATAACAGTTTTGGGATACTTTCATGCATTTCCAAATGCTTCTCTGCACGAGGCTGAAAGTGAGATAGGTATACCCTACGTGACAATTTGTCGAATTCTTAATAAGCATAAATGGCATCCCTATAAGTTCTACTGTGTCCAACATTTGAAAGAGACTGATTTACCTCGTAGAGTGGAATTCTTTGAATGGTTACTTGTCAAGACTCAAGAGGATGAACATTTCCTTGGCAATATCATATGGATAGATGAGGCCAAGTTCACAAAAAATGGAGTTTTCAATAGACACAACAGTCTCTATTGGGCGCCAGAAAATCCCCATGTTGTCCGCCAAGGGGGTTTTCAAGAAAGATGGCAATTCACTGTATTTTGTGCCATAAAGAATGAGTCAATTTTTTATATCGAGTTTTATGATGATAATTTGAATGCATCAAAATATGAAGATTTACTGAGGAATGGAATTCAAATGATTTTAAATAATAGACCAAATGGATGGTGCTCCACCCCATAATTCTCATTGTCAGCGAAGCTTCAACCGAAATCTTCAAAGACAGATGGATTAATGAACCTTTTCGCTGGCCTCCTAGAACACCAGATGGCAATCCATTAGATTATTTCGTGTGGGGTTTCATTAAAAATATGGTTTACTCTACTCCAATAACAACAATGGAAGATATGAAATCGAGAGTTACAACTGCTTTCAATAGTTTGACTCCAGACTTGATCAGAAGCGCTACACATGACAATATTTTGAAGAGATTACATGTTTGTTTAAGTAGAGGTGGAGATGTGTTTGAACATATTCTGAAATACACTGACGATTAAATTAACTCATTAATTTATGGGTTTATTATTTTCAGTTCGTGTTTCAGCGTTAATAAAACTATTGTTTCAAGAGAAGTTTCATTCGATGGTTGAGGAGTATTTTAATAATTATCTTTTCATTGTATTATCTGTGACTAATTGAGAAACATCCAACGAAATCTGTTTTACAAAAATGAGTGATGAACAAGGAAACCATGTCAATTTCCGTTTGAAACAGTTTATCTCGAAAACGGTTCAAAATAGAAATAATATTATCTGAACAAAGTTTTCTAAAATTGGATGTAGAGCTCCAAAATGTTGAAATATACAGGGTATTCTATTTGAAAAAATTGAGTTTCACTCATTTTTTCATGAGATCAAAGTATCTGCATTTTTTGAAGACCCTGTATGAGGCAAATGAAAATATGACTCGGAGTGAAGATCCTCATAATATCACTCCACTCCATTTCAAATTTGATCGTTTTAGTGCAAGAGAGTTCAAGATTATCAGCATTTATTAAAGTTCGTGTTTGTTGAAAAAAATATCGAAATTAATTTATATCTTCTAAACGGTAATAGGGAAATAGTATATGAATTTGTTGACAAAGTGATAATGAATCATAATATGATATGATATACGGGGTGTTGTATTTGAAAAATCAAAGAAGCCGTTACTTTATAGTAGAAGCGACAACGCCGCTTCGTCTAAAATATTTTAGGCGTGTAGGTCATATTGACTTATGCATACTGTGAAATTTTCAGATTGATCCGTTGAATAGTTTGCCAGAAACGGCTAATTAACGCTCATCATTAAAAGCCCTGTATAAGACCATTATACAACCACATTTCGAATATTGTCCCACTCTTATATACACAGATCATTTGAATAAAATGAGAACCCTACAAAAACTACAGAATCGCGCAATGAGGATTATTTTGAGATGTGACAGGAGTTCCCATATATCTTTAATGTTAAATACTCTAGAATGGTTATCTACCCTCATATTTTGACAAATTTTTAATAATCAAGTCCATCAGTATAATACTAGAATGTATGTATATAAATAATCAAACAAAAACTTACTAAAACATTAATTTTTAAATGATTTATTAAGTATAACACTCTACTTGAAAATGTAGTCTTCTCTAACAGTCTTATTCTGTTCAAAAGAAATCTATTAGACTATTTAAGATACCATTAATGTGATACCAAATTATTATGTGTAATTTTTTTTGTATTTTCAATTATCGTAGGTAAGACTACTTACCTATTATTAACCATTATTATTAACTATTATTAACAAATATTAGTAGATCTTTTTTCTAGTATTTATATGCATATTAATCTTAACATTATTATCATTGTTGTATATTAGGATGTATCATATTTGAATAAAGCATTTCATTTACGTTTATACATGTTTTTGAACTTTTTTAGAACATTTTCTATATTTACATTGTATTTTTTGGACTTTTGTCAATAAGATGCAAATCTTCGGACAATAAAGTATATTTTGATTTGATTTGATGCATTCACATCAGTTTTCTGACTATGCACATGAGATACGGTATACACAAGTAATTATAATTTAAAATTCTTCTCGCCACGTTAAAAAAGAAATATCTTGTTTAACTGCAATCGAATACTCTATTGCCAACAAAACACATATTTTATTTCATCATATACTCGATATCAAATTGAAACATTAGATCTATTGCGTTTTATAAAATTACTAGTTTCTTATAAGATCTTAATGAATCATTGCATTAATCACGCTTCCATGAAACACCACTCGAATTGAGACTACACGAAAAGTTTGTCTACCATTCTTACAGTATATTTTAGTGAGGATGGATCAGAGGGAATTGTTTTCTATCCGACGAGTTGGGTAAATTTGCAAGTGTTAAAGTTGTT